ATATAATCATGTTCAAAATATACAGAAAACTTAAATGAAGGAGACTCCTACTATGGTAATGTTTCAGATCCACAGACATGCAAATTTGTGCTTCAGCAAACTGTAAACACGCCTGATGCTCCATGTACTGTAAAAATTAAAATAATTTATTTGTTTATTTTCCTACCTTTATTATTAAAACATACCAGTGAAAATCTCTGATAATTGATTACTGATTTTGGCTGAATATTTCCTCAGCATCATTTTAGCATTTATTCAAACGTTCAATACGACGACTGTGACAGCCTTTAGCGATTAATCACGCGTGGCATTTCCTTACAAGGGGCAGTGGATTCAGAATATGTCACATAATAAATTCTCAGACAGTTAAAAATCACTATAATTTTGCTCTAATGTATTATGGATCGCCTGGAATATCACTCAGTCTGGGGTGAGACATTGTTAATTTCCAACAGCTGTTGAGGCTTTGAGGTAAGTTAATGATTAAATATAGACGGCCTGATTTATTAGTCTGTACACTATTGCTTCCAGGTCAATGCCATAAAGACAAAACATTTATCTTGATATGCTTAAAAGCCAAGATGTTCCATGTAAAGCGCATTTATTTTCTGAAATAAGAAAGTCGAAGTTGCAGAATAGCCACTGAAATGGCCATCTGTTATTTCCCATTAACACCCATAAGGATTCTCAAAAAGAGCATGTGCAGCAGTGGAAAAGAGATGAATATAATATTTAGTTAATTGAAAATCTAAAGCCTTTAATATGTAAATGATGTATAGATTCACAGTCCACAATTTTAATTTGGCACTCAGTTTGCTGAAATGCAATAAAATAGATGATCTTTTTTTACAAAGTAGAAGGCCCACATATAAACATTCCCTTCAGTGTCTCTATTCACTTCTCAATGTTGGAAACTGCTCAATCAGCCAGTTGCCCAGTTCAGCCATGCGTTTTCTGTGGTCCAGCCCTCTCTACCTGTCTCACATGTTCCCAGTTTCCTGCTGGACTGGGCTGTAACATCTCCCTTTGCCTGATCTGCTCATGTAAACTGTTAGGTTATCCTGCCAGGACATTACAACTTCCATCTCAGAGAACTGATTCAATTAACAGCACCCCAAACWAATTGACGTTTAACTTTATGCCAGGTCAGCCCCGGTGATGGCTCCAAATGCTCCCACCTCCCATTGTTTACCATTAAGCCTTTAACTAGTCGGTTGGCCAGCTCTATGGTGTGGGTGGTTCGCGTCACCTCCTCCTGACAGCAGATTTTTTCAGCTGTAGCCCTCTCAAACTTAGCTGTTAGGCTCTGGAGGTTGGCATCGAGATCCTACAGAGACATAGGAAACCATGCAAATCAAAACACCGCTGACAAAATTTAGCTTTTAGGTTAATTAACTTAAACATAACACTGTACTCACGGCCAGTTTCTTTTGAACTGCCAACAGTTTGGCTGTTGCGGTTTCTAGCTCTGCATTAGCTTGTGATAGYGCACGCCTTTTTGGGATCACCTCACAATAAATCTGAAAATAWATAAAGTGTGCTTCATGAATATTCCTCAAAGCAGCTTAAAATGTTTTTGTAGTAAATAGAGTTTCTTAGAAGATGATGTCGGACCTCATAATATCTGACAATATTAATAGTCCAGGCACAAAGACCGGCTGCAGCTGTGGATTTGGTCCAGACTAATTCTGGATGAAAGTCTGGGTCTCTTAGATACTGCTGTTTCACCACAGTCAGACAGGACTCAGGGATGTGTTCTTTGTCATATGACACCAGGGTCTGCAGGAATTCATCCACCTGATAGATATAAAGACAGAAAAACGCCATATTAAGGCAGATTATATTAATAAACGCAGTTTATAAAGTAAAATAACCAACCAATCCACATTTTTGTTTGCCAATAATTGTTTTACTCTGTGTATGTAATAATTATTTAAAATAACCAACCAATCCACATTTTTGTTTGCCAATAATTGTTTTACTCTGTGTATGTAATAATTATTATTCACAAACAAAATTCATATCTATTTATAATGCATGTAAATATTCACTAAATGAAATGTTTACATGCAAGTATATCTCAAACAAGTATTTATATCCCAACATTTGTTTTCATAAAGACTACACTGCTGAATTTACTGAAATTAATTTTTAAAAAAGAAAGGAGTTTTTGCACAGCAAATAATGCAAATGAGTCATTTACTCTCATACTTAGTAATCACTTGTAAACTCAAGTTCTAATGCATGTTTAATCTAAATAAAACACTGTGTTCAGCATCTCAGAGGTTTACAATTGAGTTTATCATTTTGCTATTTCAGTCAGTTCAAAAGGAAAAGTTCAGCAGCTAGGGTTGAAGTAGTAGATAGAGTATTTTTTGTGTTTAGCACTGTCAGGAGGCTAAAACAATAAAACTGATATGCAGGAGGTTGACAATTTTTTTATTTAGCCTTGCAAAGCATAGATTGACATGTGCTGTTAGGTCCTTCCTAATTTGCTCCCCTCACACAGTCTCCTTCTGTCTCTGCGTGTATGAGATGGTTTTTATTGCAACACTTGCAATAACAGCAGCAAGAGGTTGAAGCAGGTCGACGCTTGCTTCTCTGGTGGATGAACATATTCATGGAGGCATCCAGCTGTAATGTGAGCTCAGAAAAGATGCTGGGCAGGGCAATGTCAGGGCCCTCTCACAGATTACACTGGCATTAATCAAACACATGTGATTGACATGGTGACAGTTTAACCTTGCCCATGAAGGCCCGCGCCGCCTTCCAGCTCCGATCCTTAGGCACGCGACCGTGGGGGGCTAGCAAGACCATCACCGCCGCCGCGACGTTGATTACCGCAGTTGGTGGGTTCGGAAAAGCTTTCAGTTCAGTGAGATTCACCTTTAAGAAAATGATCAAAAATGTATTTATAAACCTAACAAAAGTAATTTGGAATTAATAAAATGTTATTTAGTTTGTACAAATACTGCACCTTGTTTAGGGTGTTCAGTGCTTCGACTGCAGCTGCCAGGGACGGCTCTGCCTTGGCCAAGTCACTTTCACAGTCTCTCTGTTTTAAAGCGATTTCTGCCTGCATAGCAGCAACCTGTTCAAAAACAACCACTAAAAATGAAATTCTTCTATATGTGATTTAATACAACATAATATGTAATGTGTAATGCCAAACAGTGAATTAAAAAGGAGAGGGGTGTGAAGCACCTCATTTGAATTTAAAGAGACAGCCTCAAAATGAGCTGATCTGAGACACACCTCAGAAAAGGGGTGAAAGAGGGGCTTGTGGAGTTACAATAAGGAGGAACTTAGACCAAAGCATTGCAGTTCCACTTTATATAGACCCCAACTGAATGATTTCAATGTGAAAGAGAAGGATTTATAGGTTATATCTAACCTTTTGCGCTTCCACGTCTGCAGCTTCTCTCTTCTTGCTAACCTTCTCACTCTGCAGTCCAATCTTTACTATTATCGCCTCAATATTAGCATTTTTCACGGTCAGCTCAGCTTCTTGTGACGCTAACTTAGCTTTTAGATCTTCAACCTAAAACATAGTTAACACAAAACACACAAATAAAAAAGGCAGCATAACCACAGAAACCAAAAATAATCCAACATTATTCTTCAGAAGAATAAGACGAGCCCCCCTGAACAACGAGTGAAGACACACACCTGCGCAGCCGTGCTCTGGAGCTTCTGAAGGCCGTTCTCAAGTCGGTTCATCTTATGCTGAAGCTGAGCCCGGCTTTTCTCCAGAAGGTTTCTGTACAGGGTGATTTGCTGGAGAAAGCTCCTGGGGGTGGTGTAATTGTACCTCTTCTCATTCCGTAGGTATTTTTCACTTGCCTGGTTGACACTGGTGTGAACGTGGGCCATGAAAAGACTGATGGATTCCTGGACTGCAGGCTATAAAAATAAGCAGACAAGTGCAGAGAGGGGAGAACAGGGTGAGCTGGATAAAGTACAGTTTAACATCCCCAACCTGATGGGCACTGAAATATTATCTTCATAAACTTTGAATTCATCTACAAGTTCTGCCGTCTTACTTGGCTGGCCCTGACTTACTCAATCTAAAATTTAGGTGCAGCCACCAGAAATGATTATGCTTTGAAACCTCTGTGAAAATAATGTGTTTAGAGCACTGACATGCTGCTTGTAAAACATGGTTTACATTATATCTGGAACTTTCTAAACACTGTCTACAACAGATGTGGTACTACTTTTTAACAAGGTATTCATCACGTGAAGCACAAGGATTCAGTTTCTATTAATCACGCAGTTAGCAATCAATTAGCGCTAAAACAAACGAGCAGAGAATATGAAGATCAAAGCTAACCATAACTCACAAAAAGCCATTGTTAATGACCATAGATCCAACAGGCACAAAAAAATCATTATTAATTAAGATTTGACATAATGCATTTTGACAAAGCATGCTGGGTTGTGTTAAGATGCGAGGAACTTCATTGATTGGCCTTGTATAACATTTATTAGCAGGCCATGTGTTTCTAACTTTAAATAAATGATTGCTTCATTTCTTCTGCTCCTGCCTCTTAAAGAAGATAAACAGTCTTTAATGGCTTTAGATATAATATCTCATATTGGCTTGTTTTAGCTTTTTAAAACATTTGTTAGGTCCTCTCTCATTCAAATTAACACCATGTTCAAAGTACCGACAAAACTGTACAACTTATATTTCATTATTCTTTTCTTCTGTCATTTTCTTGGTTATAACARCCATTTTACTACTGCTTCATTGCTTGAACAATATTGTGCAAAACCTGAAACTTTTACTGGTTTAAGAACTAAAGTTGAGGCTACAACCACTATTTGCCACAGATAACATAATACGTGCTACTACAAGTGCAAATAAAAAGGTTTCTGCACACGAGCAGTCACCCRTGGGCCGATCTACTCACACAATCAATGGGAAGTACTAGTCTGGCACATGTTCACATATGTGATAAGACTTTGTGGTTGTGACAGCTGGGCCACCTCTGGAGAGTCGTTATGTGCTTAATCAGTCTTCTCTCATTAACATAAATGACTCTGGGTTGTGATCKTTCCGCTGCTATGATGGAAAACAATGATGTGCCTGCGCTCACTGCGAGTCTCCAGGCATGTGTTAAGCAATTTGTCAGTACCTCGGCAGAGAACAAATGATGAAGGATCTATGGAAACGTTAATTTAGCTGCATGGCAATAATTAAACAGTCTTCATTGCAGTTTAAACCAGCCTGGAGCATGAGGGCGCATGACAAACYGGGGTGAAACAAACACTGTATCACGTAAATATGTAGATGAAACAGGTACATGAAACCCAACCTTAATGTCTTCAATGTCCTGGATGAACCTGTAACTGACTGACTGCAGAGCTTCAGCTGACCAAGGATGAAACCAGTCGATGGTTGTGCAGTTGATAAGGGCTGGAAAGCGGCGGGCCCTGACACGCAGAGTGCTTCCCACAGGAGACAAGCACAGGACCACCTGCAAATAAAGAAAGCAGGGAGACGCAAAGTCGCAGAAGCACCGGAGGTTCTGAGCAAATGCATTTGAACCTAACGAAGAGCAAACAGAAACATGCTCGCAAATCAGAGAGATCCGAGTGAGGAGTCCATAAGAGAGATTAATGACAGCTCTCTGCATCCCCACTTTGATCAGTGTAGCATGTGAGCAGCAACAGCAGCCACATTCCCAGTGGGCTGAAGCAGACGGTGATGCCACCAGAGGTCTTATCGTAAAGACAAACTGGAGTCTTTACACTCAAAAAAAAAAACAGATGTCAAGAATTTAATTTTAAAAAATTAACTGGTTCCACTCAACTGAACTGAGTAAAGGTAACACACATGTATTTTGCATTTAAAAGTTACCGGTAAGTAAATGTTACCTTTACTCAATTCAGTTGTGTGGAACCATTTGACATTTTATTTTTACCATACCATACCATACCAACTTTATTTATAAAGCACTTTAAAACAACCACAGCTGATACAAAGTGCTGTACTTTAAAACGACAACATAATAAAAAAAGTGAGTAAAAACGGTTTAAAAACAAAAACATATAATTTAAAACATGCAGGATTTCTCAAACATGCAGGAATGAGTCAAAGCAAGACTCTGGGCATGTTTTTGATGA